GTAGAGAATTCATGTTTACATCAAATTAATTGTATTGATCAGCTTTGTGATCAGTGGTGGGTAGTAACTAGTTACATTTACTCAGTTACATTTACGGTAGTAGAGTAACTTTTTGATTAAAAAAATTACTATTAAGAGTATTTTTACAGCATTACACTTTTAACTTGGGTAAAAATCTGAGAAAGTATCACTACTCTTATTGAGTAAAGTTTCTGGCTACTCCATCCATTCTGAGTCACTTCACTTAAAGGTATTGTGGAGGTTTTTCTCAAATTTTTTAAAAAGACCCGCCCCTCTTCTGGGCGAAATGCCATTTTTCCTCGTGCACGCTGTGTTTAAAAATTGCTGTTCTCATAGCTCATACAAGCTTACTGCGCCTGCACGTCCGCCCTAACCCCTAAATCCCTCAATCACTAAATAGAACGGGGACAATATAGTGGACTTTATAGTTAACTCAGTTAACTGACCAGCTCGGACAGATTATCACTTCCCCGTTGGTCCGCTGTGCAGTGCCTGCGTCATCTTTGTTATTTGTCGGCGGTGTCTGGTAGCAGCAGCCTATGGCGACAGTGGGCCGCTTTGACAGCAAATCCCAGAATGCTTCCCGAGGAGAGTTCTCCATGCAAAGCATTCTGGGATATATCTGCCTCTTCTGAGGCCTTTTTTTCTTCTCATGCACCTCGTAGACACTTTTCTCATACGACCCTCGGCCATTTTCAAAGAACCGCTGCAAGGAAACAAGCTTCAAGGTCTGAAACCATAGCTCAACACAGATATACGCCTGAAAGTGTGCATGCACAGAAAAAGATAGCTGACTGGACGAGCACATAGGACGGCCTTACGTAAACATATCACCAGAATGATAGACAATTAGGAGGACCACTTATTTAGATGATCCACCCGGAAATAATGAAATAATAATGAAAACAAGCTTGTTTTAAACAATTATTCACAATTCAGAGACACGCTTTCTTAATTTTTATGAACAAGCCTTGCTGGTTAAATGTTATTTTCCATCTGCTGATTCTGCCGTGTGGAGGTTAAGTGAAAATACAGTTAACAGTATGCTGTAATTTAACCCATTCTACATACAGTAACTATTACAGTTTGTAAGTTTTAAAATGAAAAATGCATTTTAAAGGATATTTATTACACCTGATTTTTTTATTGTAATTTCTGTTTATAGTTTGTTCTTTGGTCTGATCTTATTCTTTGAAACTCTAGAATTTGCATATTTTATTGTATTTCACATAATTTTGTTAAATCTAATAATATCAAATAGGCTTTTATTCTTGAGAGAGTTCTTTAAAGGCTAATTTTTACTTTTACTCGAGTAAAAACACAATAAAGTAGCGCGATTTTTGTTTAAGTACGAATTTTGGGTATGATTGGTTTTAAATGGCCAGTAATGTATGGACATTAAAGCAATTTAAATTGACCAATAGTAGCTACAAGAGCTGTTAACATCCCATGCACTGCAAAAATGATCTAGAAATAAGTGAAAATGTCTTAATTCACTCTTAATTTAAAGAAGGAAAATAAGATCGTTTGCCAATGGAATGAGTATTTTTACTCTTAGAATAAGTTAATTAGATAATATGCTCTTGAAATAAGACAATGCAGCTCTTTTTTCTTATTTTAAGTGTAAATTGTCTCGTTTTATTGGCAAAATGTCTCGCTTACCACCTCAGTTCAAGAAAAAATGCACTTATTTTAAGAAAAAATGACTTAAATAGATTTACATTTTTTGCAGAGTGGGTTTTCCAACTTGTAACTGCAGCATGTCTAAGTTAGGTCTGTTTCATTCTCCACTGCTCTCTTCTCCTGGTCAGTTCTAGTTTGAAGTAAAAATCCAAGTTCTTGTATAACGTATCTGCTTGTCTGTTTATTAGCTTTATATGTACAAATTGTCAACAATTTGTTTATAAAGTGAATGTTGTTATGAAAAGCTCTGTGTTTACAACTTGAAGCTTTCTCTCTCGGGTTCTTTAAGTGAGAGGAGATTACTCGGGACAAACTCTTTAAATAATACATCATATTGTATAAGTATTTAATAACCATGACATTGTAATCTTACTCAGATCAGAGAATTTGCTTAGCGTTACAGAAGGTAGCGCTTATCAACCGGGCTCACATCTTGTTGAAGTCTCCCACAACCACAGTTAGAGAAGCATTTCATACAACTCCAGTATGCCAAATCTCCACATTACATCATACATGTTTGTAAATGAAGAAACATCAATGGCTCCAGCCTTATCATAATATTACATGTTCTTAGATCAAGGAAACCGCTCTCATTCTATTAACAAATCTTTGCCACATACAGAATGAAGAAGACTTTTTATTTTGACATAAGAAGACCTAATTAGATAAACTACTTGGGAAAGAATTAGTTCTGACACAAAGCTAATATTAGGGTTTAACAGACTGACACATCATCAGTGAAAATAATCCTAATAATGTGATTGATCAATAACAACCAGAGGAATTCAAAATACGGATCTTCATCAAGTATTTACGACTGCAACCTTTATGCCTGATACAAAGCCTTACAGGCTCTTATTTTTGCAGCCAGTTCGGGTCATGCATTGTCAAAAAAATACGGGGTTATGAACAGGAAATCCAGGGTTAAGTGTCCAGGATTTGCTGACTGGTAGACAGAAAAAGATCTGCTCTGGAATGTTGTTTCTAGAAGGAGCGACTGTTACTGAAACATGTGGTTTCGACTTTTAATGAGCTTGTTTGGCAAATGAATGGTAGCTCAATGAACAGAGATAATAGATCAGCTGTAGTGACTTGACATGTTCAAGTATAGCTTACTCGGTCTAATGCCTCAGCACAGAGTGTGCTCACCTGGAAGGAAGATAATCTTTCTTTTTCAGTAGGATTTTATCACTTTAAAGAAAACATTTTATTTAATCTGAGTTATGTGCAGGTCAAATTCTAGCTTAATATTAAAACAAGCAATGCTGCATTTGCTCTGGCCTAGATTTTTTTAATCATGAGGGAATATGAGTAAAAGATTAAAGAACGGTTTGTTTTAGAGTCAAACTTTTTTCACTGGAAGCTTCTTGACAGTGAGAAGCAGAGGTTAATTAGACTGAGCAAGTCTGAAAGAATTTAAAAAGGGAGAAAGTGACTGATAACAGAGGGAGTTTAATGAGTGCAGAGAGGGAGGGAGGGTTCAACAAAAAGGTTCATAATGTAAAAGTGGAGATCTTTAAGTTATGCTGCAAAAGAAAAAGCAGTTACAGAGCCATCTATGCAGCAGGGTGGTTGAATAAATCATGGCTGCCTCATCTATGCTACCCATTTCTCTTGGTTATAAGCTGGCAGCCAAACACCCACCTGCATACTCACCTCATTCTTTGTGTTTTGGCAGGATGACGCTGAAGGCCTGTACTGCCAGGAGCAGATCAACAGGTCAGGCTGAAATCATATTATTATGAGTTTTAATATCAAACTCATGTTCTCAGTTAATTTTCTTTAGTCCTTTCTTAATTCCAGGTCCATCTACTGGGCAGACGGGTATGTGCTGGTTTTCTCCATTACAGACAACAGTAGCTATCGAACCATCCAGCCTCTCTACCAGCACATCAGACGTATACATCCGTCTGGAAACATCCCGGTTATTCTGGTAAGGATTTCTGCAAAGATATGTTTCACTGTGATAGCTTACTTGCATCAGATATCGTTTTTTTTTACTTTTCTGTCGATCATGGCCATTAAGGTGAATAAAAATGCTGGCATCTAAAACAAAACTTTGAGAATCCCTCAAAGCTTTGAAGAGCATCAGTGGGCGCAGTAGCAAGGTAGCAGTTATAACTCTGGAGGAGCTGTAGGGATTTAAACCTCAGGTGGGAGAATCTGCTGACAGAAAAGTTGATAGTTATCCAAATCTATGAAACTGAACTTTATGGAACTGAGATAATTTAATAATATGAAGTTCTGTTTTATATATAGCACCAATTCACACCACATGTCAGCTCAACAGAGACACTTCAACCAGATCATACAGTCAGATTTGTTTAAATTTTTTTATTTATTTAAGGAAAACCAGCTGATCGCATTGACTCATTGACTCGAAAGCAATCCCTCACACCAAGCATGCTTCTAGCGACAGTGGAGAGGAAAACTCCTTTTAAACCTCCATCAGAACCGGGCTCAGTGAGAGCGACCATCTGCAGAGGCCAGCTGGAGTTCAAGGACACATAAGAAGACATACAAAACAAACATATAGACACTCATCTATAAATATTTGCTTTTATAAAAAAGTGACAGTAAACTAGCTCCATAGATTCTCTGTGCGAAAGAAACAGTGAAAGAAATGAGCTCTAAAACAGTTTTCACGTCAAAAGGATGAAAAGCAGCGCATGCAGTTAGTCACAGTAAAAGCTGAACCCATAGCTATGTTTAGGAGAGAAACAGGAATGAACACTGAAAAAGAGGCCCAGCTCTGTCATCTATAATCCAAGGTGTGGATGGCAGCAGCATAGCTGATATTTCGCTTCAGGACGGTGTCACAGCCAAACAGTAATAGACCAGATGATGCTACTGTTATGAGAAAAAGCAGAGAGATCACAAAGTTAGAGGTGGAGCCAGCAAATGATGAAGAATGGAGATAATAGAGATGGAATGAAGTGGAAAACGAAAATGGTAGGCATTAGCTTAAAAAAGTGATAGGAGGTTCCCAGGAGAGGTGAAGAAGAAGAGGGTTTGATGAAGGCAAAATGGACTCTTGGACCAGAAGGGAAAACGCTGTATGGTAGAAAAACCAACACTTCAAATCACCATGAACACAATGATGGTTTTATATGGTGGTGGCAGCATTATGTTGTGGGCATGCTCGTCTTCAAAAGGAAAAGGGTCTGAATTAAGGTAAAAGTGTTTAGATAGAGGCTGCAGAAGACTCAAGGCTGGGGTTGGGTCTCAACAGCTAGCAACAACTAGACGTTCCACCGGAGCTACGATTAAAGGCGTTAGATCATATTTATGTGTTAGAATGGCCCATTTTTCAGTTCTTTAATATTCCAGCATTTGTATTGTCATTACACTGTCACAATTACAGAGTAAAAAAATGAATTCTCTGCCTTTAACCCATCCCCTTGGGGAGCAGTGGGCTGCCTTTATGCGGCATCTGGGGAGCAATGTGGGGGTTAAGGGTCTTGCCAAAGTGGCAGTCTGTGTGAGTGGTGCTTGAAATTAGAACTTTAGGATTCCAAGCACATTGCCTTAACCACTAGGCCGCCACTCCCCAAGGTAGGCATCAGCGTGAATGGTTTTGCCTAAGACAAGTTCTTGCCTAGACATTACTTTTTTTTTACTTTGAGACCCGTGTCAAATTTGTTATCTCTGTGTCAGTTTTATATTGTAAATATAGAAAGAAAAAAATATCGGCCCCAAGAATTGGCCCAAAAAAATCGGCAGCACATAAACTGATGTTAAAATAATTGGCATTGGGATCGGCCTTACAAAATCTGCATCAGTCGATCTCTGCTCAAGAGGCAGGCTAAGAACTGTTAACATTTTATTAATTGTTAAAAACAAAAAGCTTGCGTCTCATTATTCCTTAAAAAATCCTCCACCCTAAAATTCATTATATAATATTATAAAATACATTTATTAAGGATTGTGTTTGCACTGTTTCAACGTGTAAAAAAAAAATCAAAAGGTGTAAATACATTAATGTCTTTAAAATCCAGTTAGATTGATCAGAACAACAGTATTAATTTCAAGGCAGAGCAGACAAGAAACCTGCTAATCCTAATCCTGTAATCTAATCAGTATAATCTCTTCCCTGCTGCAGGTTGGAAACAAGAATGACCTGCTCCGAGCCCGACAAGTGCCTGCAGAAGAAGGCAACACGTTAGCCACTTCCCTAGGTGCGGAGTACAGTAAAAAAAAAAAGTGAATGCCTGGTCCTAAGACCCATAATGCTGTTTTGTTGTTTAATTATGGATTCAGCCTAAAAGTAACAACAAACCAAAGCTACCCGCAGCTAGAGGGAAAGCAGGAAGAGGAATAAACAGATAGATTTGGGTTTATGCACTAGTCCAGTCTGTTATGGTGAAGAAAGTACCCCTGATTTACTGTTCTGTCTACCCTCCTGGCCTCAGCTATGCTTTTGAGGTATGGATTATTACTGAAACGTCATCCTGGATACAAGCGGCCAGAATGATCTTCTTTCCGGATGGCTGGACTCAGCTCTCTCTTCCATCCTCAAAATAGAGCAGAGGCTTCTCTGCATTGAAGGGGTCAGTTAAGGTGCATTGAGCAACAGGGTGTCCACTGGGTATCTAATACCCCCTTTTCTTGCTGGAACCCTATTTATACCACTTAAAATTGTCTATTTATTACATTTTTTCTACCATGACCAATCCCCTGCAATTATACTGCATCCCCAACCATTAACATTCTTATGCATATTTTCTCTGAAAGCTTTAGCTACATTGCCCTGTAAGTTTTTTCTTTGGTGATTCTTTTTATTTTGACCCTCTGTGAATGTTTGAAAGATTTATGCTCTTTGTTATCCAGTGAAAGATCTGGAAAACCATTTATTTTATGGTTTACAGTTCACAGATAATCACTCCTTTACTTATTGTTCTTATTGTAAACCTTAATCCAAGCAGAAATAGAAACCACCTATTCTGAAATTGGTGATTTCCAGTTTTTAGATGGATTAGTTATGGTTGAACACACCAACCAACTCCCAACAGTTGGCGATTTCACACCCTGCTAAAATATTGAGAAACACAGTACAGATTAAGTGACCTTGATAAACTGTATCCTGCATGTTTCCTGATGAGAAAGGAATGCCGACTGTTATCATGACGATGAGAGCTGAGTTGATCTGAGCCATATCTCTGATCGCAGGAGGCGTTTACTTCGAGGCCTCGGCCAGAGAGAACCACGAGGGAGTCCATGCCGCCTTCCTCCATCTCTGTCAGGAGGTGGGGCTTTATCTTATTTTTCTCTTCTTTTGTCGGAAACGGTTGATTGGTGACTCAGGAGTCCTAATATAGGGAGCGTTTGTCTCGATGAAAGCATCTTATTTAGCTCCTTGGGTGTTGGTCATTTTATATCCACCATCCTTTTAAGGAATTTCATGCTCTGTGGGAGCTCTGATAGCTGACTGATCCTAAAAACGGAAATACCACATGTTTATCTTTTTGGCCATAGAGGGAAACCAAAATGGATCACTGTGTGTGTGTGTGTGTGTGTGTGTTTTTTCTTAGTGGAGTAACAGTCGTTCCCCTCCGGGAGGACCACTGAAATTTGCAGTTTCCTGCTGCTCTACGAGATTGTTGTGGTAATTAGGCTCAAATTCTCCCCAAAATTATCCACATTTTCAGATAACAAATCCACCAGTTAGTTCCTCACTAAATAAAAAGCCAAATAATGTTTGAGATCCACAGGTTGACGGTTCACAAATCCTGTTAAATTACAGATTTAGCAAAATCATCCATAATCCATAAATCATCCTTAAAATGTTTTAATTTTGATCAAGTTAAAACCACAAAAATCTGTTTTATAGATTTTCTTTTTAAAAAGACCAATACAAAGTAGCTCAAATTGTGAAGCAGCAGTCAAGTCAAACATGGCCTTAAAGATATTTTTCAAAGAAAAAGTTTAAAGTCTCTTGAGTCTTTTTTTAGACCTTAACATATTTTCTTCAGACATGTTTCTATATTAAGCTCCACCAAGGTTATATTGTTTGTTCCTGATAAAGAGAAACAATCCCACTGCATGATGTAGCCAGAAATAATCTGCGAAAAGCAAGTTTCAAGGTATGCTGCCATTTTTAAATTGTATTTAGAACACAGCTGATATTGGGCACATGAATATGCTTTGACTTCAACTATCTGATTTAAGCTCTGACTCTATACTCAGGGGATTTCACCCAGATGGAAGGTGATCTACCACTCTATGTTTTTGTAGCTTAGGCAGAGTTTCTTTCTGTCCTTCTTCCAAATGCTGAACTTTTTCCCTATCATTGGTTAAAAAAAAACATGATGCTTGCACCACCGTGCACCACGTTCCCCCGTGGACGTGCTGTGTTTAGGTTATTTGCAGTGTCATGTTAGGTTTATTTTTTGTTTTGTTTTTTTACAACACATAGAGTTTAGGATGTGTGGTAAAAATATTCACATTTAATCTTATTTAAAAAGATAAGATTTTTAAATAAAACCGTAATGATATAGCTCCTGGAAGGTTGCAGAAGGAAAAAACAATACCCGTTGATTTATTCTCAAAACTTTATCATGAATGTTGTTATTGCTAAACTGAGATTTAGCAATACAAAAGTGCATCTTTGTTTTTGTATTCATTTTTATTAAAGGACAGAAAAAATTACAACTGAGAAAGGTTTGACTAAAATTTTCTTGGCAATAAGCAGTGAGACGAGACAAAGGATTAAGGGAAAGAAAAAACTAGTCTATTAACTAGTTTGCTTTACTAATAATATACAAGCATGGGAGCATAGGCCTAAGAGAAACCAGATTTAGAAGGAGCAATATATTCCATCCAGGGTCAACAAAGGTGGATTCTGGTAAAGCCTCAGTGTGTAAAATGTACTGTTATTTAGCAGTGCACTAAATGAATAACAAGCACTTTGCCTATATCGAGATGATACCCAATATGGGAGCCATGGAGTATCATTAATGTGACAATGTCAAAATCCTGCATAAGTTCAAGTGTCCTGTCAGGTTATAAAGAACAGAAGGATACACAGTGCAGTTTCTTTGTTTTGGCATTAGAATTCTTGCAGCTCTACGGACTAAATCATGATAAAAAACTTGTGTTACTTTGGTCTATTCTTCACATCATTCCCCATCACCCTTGATAAATTGTTGCTATGACTCCTGTGCAGACTAAAATCAGCTCATAAATGTTGCAATGGAGCTCGTCCAATGTAGGCTAACAAAAAAACTAGCCAGGAGGACCGAGTAGTTGCTGTATTTCTCTGTCCTATTGCTAACATAGTGCCAAAATAAACTCTGCTGTTAAGTTAACCTACCTGTCCAGCAGAAAGCATGAAACCTCCACGTCTAGTTTGAACCCCCAACTCCTCATCAGTTGCTTCCATCTGGTTAAAGCTATGTCAATATGGACTCTGTTCCTGTCTTAGTTATTGTTTCTTTTTTCTTTTGTTGGTCAATTTCTCTTCCCTCTCGCTGAGTAAATACACATGTGGGCAAAATTATTGGTGTCTTTTGTTTAATGAAAACACAATGGTTCTAGAAATAACTTTAATCTGACAAAAAGCAATAAATAACTATTCTATGGAAATAAACAAATTAATTCAGACATAACCTTAAAAATCATTAAAATTCATTAAAATATCATTTTTTATCATTTTTAAATTAAGGCCTTAATTGGTATAAAAATTCATTAAATGGGATTATCATGGCATTTAAAATGCTTTATGAAAATATATATATAACAGATATATAATATTGCGATATATTTGCGCGGAACCGCTTCCGGTTGATCGTGAAGCTGTATGTTCGGTAAAGAAACCTGAGATGGGGAGAAGGCTAGAAAATGGGAAAATGTGGCTGGAAAACGTGAAATTTGTGACATGGCTGAAGCCTGTCAATGTAAAGATGAGAAAGGATTTTGAAGTGTTTTATATATATATATATATATATATATATATATATATATATATAT